AGGAATGCAATGTGCTGAGGTCCACTGGTTTGGCTTTTGAATTCTACCCAGGACTAAGACCCAGCTCCGTCACTGAGAAACAGTGAGTACTTGGGAGAGAAATACTTAACCTCTCTGTGCCTTATTCTGGATTCATAGAATGGTGATGAAGACACTGCCTCACAAAGTTGTCAGAAGTGTGAGGGCCATGATACAGAGTCCTCGACTGAATATAGTATTTCTCTTTAATATATTCACATTTCAGATAAATTTCCTTAAATGCAAACTAAAAGAACCAGGCAATTTGTTTGAAGCCTCACATGAATGCATGTTGGATTGCTTTCTGCTGGTTAGGTAAAGAGTGATATGGCAAATGTTAAGGGCTTTAGGAAACATATGAATGGAACCATGGAAACAAGAAAAGCTAATAAGAAGGTATGTTGTTTTCGTTAGAGTTTAATTTTAGATACCTCTTGTCTTCCTTCAAGTCATGTCTACCCAATCATGTCTATCATAGAAGCAATCCACCTTTGGTAAAATTGCAGTGTGATTATGCAGATGTAAAGGCGTAATTTATTTCAACAATTCTTGTATATTATCAAGTGAGAAGTTTAACCTAGGATAAACACAACTGTATGAACTTTGATGCTTACCTGAGCACTAGAGATCCGAAGAACTGTTCCCCCTCCAAGAGTTTGCATCTGGTCTGTCTGTAGAAGGGGCCGGCCATCTTTCATCCAGGTAATTTTAGGGGCAGGAATTCCAGAAGCATTGCAGGCAAGTTCAAGTGGATTATTAACAATTATTGATATCTCCTCAGGTTTTCCAGATCCATTAATGTGAGGTGGCTCTATTTAAAAAGAATCAAAAATAATAACAAACTCCCTCCTGCTATTTGATAAACTACTGCTGATTAGAAAAACTTGGAAATCTGACTTAAATTTATGTTTATGTAATATGAATTGATTAGGACACATAAATTCAAGTGATCATTCCTAGATTTCAGTAACCAAAATACATTATCACTGACACTATTTCAAAAGGAATGGATCATACTCATGAGACATCACGAAGGAAACAGTAGCTCATTGCAAGTTAGTTATATAGAACTCAGTTAATTAGGTCAGTCTTACTTCATTGTAAAGATTTGAAAGCAATAAAAACTAAACCATTAAAAAAAACCATTTAACAGCAAAAAGATCAGTAGAATAGAAGGGAAGGTAGGAGGGAAGGAAAAGGGGGAAATACTAGGGACCGAATTAGAGCAAATTATATCCCATGATTTCATAATTAATTTCAAAATGAATGTTATGCATAACTAAAAAGAATAAAAAACCAAAAATGATAAAAACTAAATCCATTTTGTATTTCTTTTCTGGAGAAGTATTTAAACCTATTAAAGTGTTTTTGTACCTTTTAAACACTGATTGATTCTGCAAAAGCAAAAGGTGAATGTTATGCAATTTTGCTATTGTGTTTCTGATGTAGAATTTTGAGAGGAAATATTATGACTTAAAGGATGAAAAAATAGCTACATTTGGAGAAGATTATTTCTGCACAGAACACATTTGTTGAGTCTGGACAGGAATAATACTCTTTTGTTACTTCTACAATTACCTTCTTCAAGAGAAGGTTAAAGAATCCAAACACTGGGGGAACACATTAAGGTTCCTTAGGCCAATTACTCCTAAGTTTAGTCCCTTTAAAACAGGCTCCCCTACAGGAGAGACAGTAGAACAAATTGGGCATTATTTCCCTATGTTCACATGTGAATACACAACCCATGTAATTCCACATCATGTACAACCAGAAGGATGGGAAGTTGTACTCCATATATGTATAACATGTCAAAATACATTCTACTGTCATGTATAGCCAATAAGAAAACAACACAAAAACGGACTCCCCTCACAATGAGCATTCAAGTGTTCAATGAAATTTGCACATTTCAAGGTTTTAGCTTACTATTTCACAGAGCAGCCCAAGTAGCTGTTGGACAGCTCTAAAAGCTAGCCGGGGCTTTTGTTTGTTTGTTTTTGTTATAAATCAGGCACTTAGTTTAGAAGAGTGAGTCACAGCACAGGATCTGAAGTCAGATTGAGTTTGAATTCCAGCATCCACAGCAAGTGTCCAAAAGGGGGATAGCAACTCATTTACCTAACAGGACAGTTAGGATTCAGTGAGATAAACTATACATTTCTTTTGTGCTTCTGTATGCATTTTATTCTGCAACTTAAGGTCTCTTTTTTTTTTTATATCACTACTACAATCTCTAGTAAAGTTTGTTGGCATTGCCCTTAAAATGTGCTTCCTTAACATTTGTTAGTCTTCATTTTCTTTTCTGGAAAAAGATAATGCATTGAATCTGTTCTTTTTCATATTGTAATTAAGAAGTCAGCTTTTCTTAATCACTGTCCCACATGACCTCTTCTATGCATGTTATCTACTGCTGTCAAAATATATTTTCTTAAATTCAGCTTATGATTGGTCTAAGATCTTCCGATATCAAGATTTTAATTGCTCCATGTTGCTCATGGAACAAAAAAAACCCCACCTCATTATGGCTTCTAAAGTTTCTACCACAACATGGTTTTAATCTATTTTTTATAACATTATCTACTTTTAATATACTTATCTGTGACCTAGACTTCAAGTTAGGGCACTTCTCTCCTTCAACAAGCCCAGACTTTCCTTTCTCCTCATAGTCCCACCTAACTTAGCATGTGGATATACCATTCAAAGTTGTATGAATGTCATAAAATTCATTTGCAGAAACCACAAGTTCTTTCTTGATTCTCTCTGCTAAATGTAAATCCCTAGCATGTTGTTTATACCACTCAAAGGTCCTCATCTGATTCTCCATTTTACAACAGCCAATTTTTTGTTCTTTTTTACTTATTGATTATTAACTGCATATCAGTCACTGTGGACACAAAGATTAATTAGGCATGGCCTTCTCCTCAAAAGTTTCTAATCTGAAACAGCAGCAACAGTAACAGCAACATGATCCCAACTGGTTCAAACCAGTCTGCAGGTTTTGTATGTGTCAGGTGATTGTGATTATTTTAATTGATGTTTGGACTATATGTCTTGTACTTGGGGCAGAGTAGAAGTTGTCTGTTGTTTGCATATAAGGTGTACCCCAAGGATCCTGTGTCAATGCAGGAATATTCAAAGTTGAAATGATTAGATTAGGACAGCTATAACCTAATCAGTATATTCTAGTTTGAATGGACTAAGTGGGTGGTAACTGTAGGTAGGTGGACAGTGGCTGGAGAAGGTGGGTCACTGGGTGTGTGGCATAGAATGGTTCATCTAACCCGTGGTTCCTTCTCTGCTCCCTGTCTCAGCTGCAAGGAGTGGAGCAGTGATCCTCTACCATGCCCTTACTGTGGTGTTCTGCTTCACCGTGGGCCCAGAGCAATGGAGGACGAGTCCAGCTGTGGACTGAACCTCTGAAACTGAGCCAAAATAAACTTTTCCTCCTCTAAGCTGATCTTATCAAATATCTGGGTCACAGGGATGACAGCCTGACTAATATATTGCCCACTCGTGAAAGACTCCAGAATTTCCAGCTTAGAGCTCCGGTTTGAGATCCAGATTCACAAATGAAATAATCAGATAAACATCTTCATTTGAATATTTAAATAGCACTTCAAATTTGACATGTATTCAGGTTGATGCTGTGGTCTTACTCCTCAAAAGAAGTTGTTTCCCAGCGTTCCCTGCATCTCTGTGATGCATCTACCAATCATTTAGTCACATAATCCAGAACTAAGAGTCACCCTTGACACCTTCTTCTGCATCTCTCCCCATGCCCAAATCCATAACCAAGTCCTAATACTTCAATCCATAACCAAGTCCTAATACTTCTATCTGCAATTATTTCCAGAACTTGTCTTTCTTACATTTTCCTCACTTCAATCTGAGCTATGATACCGTCTACTTGAACTGATGTCTCTTTCTTCCCGTTTGTAGGTGCCTGAACAATGTCGTTTACCTTTTTCTTTCTTATTAACAGACCTCAAATTTGTTGGGGCTGGCAATGTACTAAAAAATCACATGCCCTAGCCTCTTTAACCAATAGAAGATGGAATGGTATATAAAGATTCTGACTAATGAGATGAAGTCAGTGTTTCTGTGGGTCTTCTAAGACTGGAAAGGGGCAACTCTTTAGAGATAGGTCCTTCCTATTTTTCCTGCTGCTATTGTTGCATCTAGAGTGCTACTGAGTTATGTGAGGGTTGAGCAGGCATTGCATGCTTATTGACTGATCATGATGCGAAGGCCAAGAGAACTGCAAATATCTCCATTGCTGCATCAATACAAGGGCCTACTTCCGACACCTCACTCATTGAGAAAAACAAAAGTCCTTTGTTCAAGTGTTGAGGAAGCCCAACACTTGTGCCTATAGTTAGGCTTCCTCACTGAGACTTCCGGCCAGTGATGTTTTTAGTATTTAGTCAAGGTCATAAACTTCCTGATTCGGCATAGGTACTGAAGGCCATAAAAATCTGCTTGTGAACATCAGCTTATTTAAATAACCTGTTGGCACTGTACCTTTTTTGTTTGGCCTGCATATAAAAAAGGTTTATGGAAAGACTCAGGGCTGCTGCCACCTCCAGATAAAACACGTCTCTCAACTGTGACTGCATCTTCTTTCACTTGCCAGGATCTTGAATCTGTGAGCCAGGATCTTGAATGTGTGTGCCAGGGTCTGAACCCCTGCAGGACATCAAGCTACTATATTTAGACTCTCACAGCCAAACACAATTCCTAATGATACACTGGTCTCTCAGAATCCATTCTTGCTGTGCTCCAAAGAGACTTCTACTTTGCAGACAGAGTGCTCTTTTCAAGCTATAGATCTACTCATGTTTTCCATTTGGTAGAATTTCAATGATTCTCCTTGCTACAGGATAAAGACCAAACTTCTTAATGTGTTGGTCTAGACCCTATCATACTTCCCTGGCTTGGTTTTGTATAATGCCCCCTATTGTCTTCAGTGTTCTAACCACACTTCAGAACTGTTAATATACCATGACAACTCCCACCACGTGCACAGAATTAAGTTGAGAACAAGAAAGAACGTTTGTACTTCGAGCAGGAGCACTGCTTCACGTGAACATCATTTTGGGGTTGAACGGAATTCATTTTCAATAGATGCTGGAAATGATGAAACTTCTCATATTTCTGCTGAGCCAATTTTCTAAATCTGTTTTAAGAAAGTGTTATCCTTATAAACTCTTCAACTGGAAGGCTGTTTGTTGTTTGCTACTCCAACAATATCATGGTCATTTTTCTTCTCATTTGCTTCATCCAGAGACTAGCTAATCTCTGATTCTGCTTATGGATTCCTGAACTCCTAGAGGAAAATCCTCTCTTTCTTCACTATCCAGGCCTGGCATTTATAGCCCTGGATGAAGACAACAATTTCTTCAATTTGTTGTTCATTGTCACCAGAGGGAGCTTTTGGAAATGAAATCTGGCTGGAACCTATCTCTGCCTAAGATTCTTCTTGCTTTTTAATGAGGTCTGAACTCCATAAAATGTTCTCAAGGCCCTTCAGAGTTTGGCTTCTGCTAATATATATTTCCAGAATTGTCTTTCTTTCTTTCACATTCAGTTTACATGAGCCCAGACTGACAACTCCCATCTGTCACCTCTAGGTGAGAAATGTAGGCAATGATCTCTAACTCTTCACTCACCTCTAAAATCCCACCTTTCAGGGCTCAGATTCACCCTTAAGATCTAATATGGAACTTACCATCCTGCAGAATGTTGTTTTAACTATATGATCCTCATCACACTCAAAAGTAACTTCTTGCTCAAGGTCTGTGTTCCTCCCAGGTACAGCAATTTGAGAGCTGAAATCTCATATTTCTTATTCTATAATGCATTCAAATACCTGCCACACAGTATGTCACATAGTAGGGATTCACAATTTTATTTGTTCAACAATGACAAGAAACATGCCTGGCACATAATGTGTATCCAATAATTCATACTTAGTATGTGAGTAATGAAATACAAGATCATGTATGTCATCTATTATAACTCATATTCTGTGAACTGATGTACAGTACAGGGAGTTGTTTCTCACCCTTACCCCCCACCTCCCAGATGCACATTTTCTTCTATCTTTTGTTGCTAAATATTCTGGAGAACTCCTTCCATCAAGACTCTTCATTCTCTGAAAGTCCTAGCTATAACCAGTTTCTCTCATTTTGTTTATTCAGATATTGTTCTTTCTTCCTCTATAGCTAAAACTCCCATTAATTCAACTCAAAAGTATCTAGTTCAATTCAATCCAACAAATATGTATGAGGAGCCTCTGATGTGTCAGAATGTCATGCAAAGCACTGGGGACACAGTGGTAAGATGGGCGGTGCTTCATACAGCTTAACTAGGGATAAAGCACACTTGAAAGTTACATAAATCACTCAATTTTAATAGGTACTCTGAGAAAGACTACAGAGCACACTGAAAACAAAGGCTAGCCCCTCCTAACTCAGATTTTTACCAAAATTCATTTTGCTGTTCTCCATCAGGAAAATTTTTGTGCTACGTAAGGAGCCTGGCATTTCCCCTACATCACAGTGAAAAAACAAAACTCCGAAAGTCTTGATTATTGAAATAACTCATTTTCATTTATTTTTCTTTCTCTTCTAAGGTCCAATCTTACTTAAAGGAAAAGTCATGGCTTTTCTGCCATTTGTTTTCTTGTGAAATGTTGGAATACATATTCTAAATGTTTACCTTAAATGCGCACAAGAGCATTTTGAAATGATTGTTCCATCAATAATCTACATATTGGATCATTTAAGACTGTTTGAATAACATGTAATGATATAAATAGTATCCTTTCTCATCAAAATTGTATTATTAAATATGCTTTTAGTTCTTGGAAAAAGTTAAAAAGTTATCTCTTTTAACTGGCTATAAGATTTTTTTTTCATTCACTAAACTTTTATGAGTAGGAGTTTTCATCTTTTCATACAGATGGCAAATAGATACAACAACTGAAATTTAACATGCTTTAGATGAGAGTAACTGTAGGTAAATGACATAGTAGAAATAAACATAGAATTAAATTTTTACAAATTTTGTCCCAGAGCAAATGATTCTAAGATTCCACCTCCTGAGACTTAATGGCCACTGACCTCATAACCATCCTGTATTTATCGGAATGTTTGCATACCTAGGACCTTCAGGTTGAAGTGCTTTCTGACTTCTCCAGCATCATTGGAGGCAATGCAGGTGTAGGTTCCTGAATCTCCAGTCTCTGCCTTGATCAGCTGGAGGACCATGCCTTGAGTGCTGATGCTTAGGTGGGCATCAAGCCCCAGAGGCCGGCCATCTCTGAGCCAGGACACACTGGGGCTTGGGGTCCCGTCTGTAAAGCATGTCATAGAGGCAGAACTGCCTTTGACAATGGCGATTTCCTCTGTCCCCATGGCGTTGTCCATATTTGGTGGTACTAGATAGAAAATAAAGTAGGTGAAATTTATGTATTTATTATAATTTGAGATAAACTAAAATCAGAACACAAACTATTCTATACTGTATCTGTGGCCCATGAAAATAAGTACTTTAAAATAGCATATAATAGGTTTGACATTACTACAAAACCATCCATTAGGTAAGCTAATTATTAATGTTCCAAATATTAGCAGTGAAACCTCAAAATTGATTTCTTGTAGAATATACAGTGTGGGTTTTTTTTTTTTTTTTTTTTTTTTTTTTGATGCTGAGGCTTGAACCCATGGCCTTGTGCATGTGAGGCAAGCACTCTACCAACTGAGCTATATCCCCAGTCCATACAATCAGGGTGTTTTAAGTTTTAGTGATTTCATAACTTTTTGCTTGATTTCTTTTTTTTTTTCCCTTTGGTAGTGGGCACTGAATCTAGGGGTGCTTAACCACTGCGCCACATATCCAGCTTTTTTTTTTTTTGAAACAGGGTCTCACTAGGTAGCTTAGGGCCTTGCTAAGTTGCTAAGGCTGGCTTTGAACTTGTGATCCTCCTGTTTTAGCCTCCTGAGGTTTCATTTCTTTAATTTGTTATAATGTTTGAAATACTTCCAATAGTACATTTCTACTCTTTATGCAAAACAATGACATCAAATTCAGATTAAGTTTTATATAAAACAACATAAGCTATAGCAATCAGTTGCTTAACTGTTCTGAGATGTTCCTGGGGAATTAAAAACATTTAGACCAGCAGTGTTTCAGAAATGGAAGGTTTTGAGCTCCTTATGGATGCAAATAGAGATACATACATGCACATGAATCTATTCATTTTAAATAATCTAAACTGCTAATATTATTAGAAAATATATTTGACTTTGTCTGAAAGACAGGTTTTGTGTCTGGATTGAAATTCTATTTTAAAAATTTTAAATTTTGTTTAATGCCAAATACCAGATCTGAAGAGTACTTTGACCGTCAGTATGAATACAGACCCTTGAGAGAAAATGATCTTCCCTAGTCAGCAGTATGCTTTTCCACCAATTATTTAATTTTTAGTTGTGGATGGACTCATACATTTATTTTTAAATTTATTTTTATGTGGTGCCGAGGATCAAACTCAGTGCCTCATGCATGCTAGGCAAGCGCTCTACCACTGAGTCGCAACCCCAGCCCTCACCATTTTTTCTTTCTTTTTTTGTCCTGGGGATTGAACTCAAGGGTACTCAACCACCGAACCACATCCCCAGCCCTATTTTGTATTTTATTTAGAGACAGGGTCTCACTGAGTTGCTTTGCGCCTTGCCATTGCTGAGGCTGGCTTTGATCCTCCTGCCTCAGCCTTTGGAGCCGCTGGAATTACAGGCATCTGCCACTGCACCTGGCTTCACCAATTATTTTTGATAGCGGAAACCCAGATCTCTAAATCTGGCAAGAGTCAATTTTTAAAGATAGCCTGTTGATGAAAACTGGACATGGAGTAAAGCAGTAGGGTCAGTTCTGTGACACACCGAACACTTGGAGGCTGTAGTGCTTGTTGTCCACCCCAGCTCTGTTGGAGGCCACACAAGTGTACATGGCGACGTCAGACACCTGAGCTCTCACAATCCTGAAAAACAATTCGACCCAACATTTCATAATGTGATCTCATTGGACACATACCAGTAAAATAATTATGACTTACAAATAAATTTCAGAAGGAGATTTATATGTTGAGAAATGTTACTTATGAAGTCTATATCCCATCCATCACAAAATACAGATCCCTCAAATGCAACTGACTCTACACAGGTAATATGCAGTAACAATAAATCACTGAAAATAGAACACATTTTGAGGAGCAAATAGTTTTCAAGCACATATTAATAGGGAATGATAATACATGAAAATCATGTGATTAGGCACGTTCCTATCTCGGGCCACATATTATTTTAGTTAAAGCAGTAGTTTTGGCCATTGTGTATATGATAATAAGTCATCTATGAAAGACTCATTTTATCCAAGCCATTTCAATATTATACTTTTGTCTCTCCCCTACTAAAAATAGACTGGAAGGGGAAAAAATAAGCAACACTAAAAGCTTAGGAAAAAGTGTTTCTCAAACACTGTTTAGACGAGGAAACAATCACAGTGTTTTTTTTTTTTTTTTTTTAATATGCTTAGGCAGTCTCAGGCAATAAGACAGGTTTACCTGATAACGTGCCCTGCAGACAACAACCGAATATGGGAGGAGAGGGGCAGAGGCAGTCCATTCTTGAGCCAGTTTATTTGAGGCGGGGGTGTCCCTGTGGCTCTGCATTCAATATTTATTGAAGTATCCACCAAAGCCGTCAGTTTCTCTGCTTCTTCTTTATTACCTCTAATTTTAGGTGGAACTATGTGATGCAGAAAGTAATTAAGAGAGGGAGCAGCATTAGTTCAAATCGCTTCCACTACAGTTGCCCACAGTTTTACTTTGTATCCCAAAAGGAAATAGTAGTGTCATTAGATTTAAAGTTAAATGCTCCAGACACCTGTGGCCTACTAATAGCCTCTTAAGGTAGCGTAATCAAGAAGGGGTGATAGTTCACACTTACCATAGACATTCAAGTTAAATATCCGGTCTTCTTCTCCAGCAGGGTTAGTAGCCACACAAGTGTATTTCCCCATGTCGGATGTGAGAGCTCCGTAAATGTTTAATGTGCTGCCATTTGCAGTCACCCTATAGAAAAGGTCAAATAGAGGCACTGAGATAATTAATCTGGGTTTATGATCTGAAGCAATCTTTCCAGATTACAGGTTCTTTTAAAAAAGTCACCATAAAATATCTTCATTTTGGATATAATAGTTCAAATTAGTTTCACTAAGTACATGGAAGCCTATTACAGTCAAAGCTAGAGAAACTGATGGAGATTCAGGCCACCAACGAAAATCATACAGTAACAGATCTCCTATTCACCAATCTCCTTATGAGGAAAAAAAAAAGGAACAAAATTGGGCTATGAACTTCTATATCCAAATTACAGGCAGAGACATCTTCTTCCAAGTTAGAAAATTATATCTTTAGTTATCAGTGTAAAGTTT